GCAACAAGACTAGATACCACACACACTCTCTCTCTCACTTGTAAGGCCATCTCCTTCACCTATAAAAGGGGATGCGCTCTCTCCCAACAGGAGGATGATGACTCCAACTCTCTTTCTCTGCCTAGCTTTAGACATTCTGAGCACTCAAACAGCTCCACGGCTCAAGAACTCTAAAGCTACATAGAGCATATGTTCCAATCCTTAGCGCACGTAGGAGCTTCCGTCACTCTTAGCCCTTCGGTCCAGAGCCCGGTCGGACCTCTAACACCCCCCTTCTTATTCCTACTCGTTTGTAACCCCATAGCAAACTTAGAGCACCTGGGCTCAGGAATAAAGTCACTGACCGACTTAAACTGGACGTAGGGCACGTTGCCTGAACTAGTATAAACCCTGTGTCATTGAGTGCTAGGCCACATCCGATCACAACGTACCACAAAACGACAAATATTTACTTGTTGGTCACTTTTCGCACCGATAACTATATTATATACCTTGTGGATGTCACTCCTAAAACCATAGAAGAGGCATACTCATCTCTAGATGTTGACTTATGGAAGGAAGTTGTTCAGAGTGAGATGGACTCTATTATGTGTAATGGAACTTGGGAGGTGGTTGATCATCCTTATGGATGCAAACCTGTAGGATGTAAATGGGTGTTCAAGAAAAAGTTTAGGCCTGATGGTACTATTGAGAAGTACAAGGCGAGGCTTGTAGCAAAGGGCTATATGCAGAAAGAAGGTGAGGATTATTTTGATACCTACTCACCAGTTGCCCGTTTGACGACCATACATGTGTTGTTGTCCTTGGCTGCCTCACACGATCTTCTCGTTCATCAGATGGACATTAAGACAGCTTTCTAGAATAGAGACCTTGAGGAAGAGATCTACATGGATCAGCCTGATGGATTTGTAGCAAAACGTCAAGAGGGTAATGTTTGTAAATTATTAAAATCCTTATATGGCCTAAAGCAAGCTCCTAAGCAGTGGCATGAGAAGTTTGACAAAACTTTGACATCGGTCGCCTTTGCAGTGAATGAAGCTGATAAATGTGTCTATTATTGGTATGGTGGGGGAGAAGGTGTAATTTTGTTCTTGTATGTGGATGATATTTTAATCTTTGGAAATAATATTAATGTGATCAAGGAAGTGAAAGATTTTCTGTCTAATAATTTTGAAATGAAAGATTTGGGTGAGGCTGATGTTATTCTTATCATAAAGCTACTGAGAGAAGAAAATGGTGGGGTAACACTTGTGCAATCCCACTACGTGGAAATGGTGTTGAATCGCTTTGGATATAGCAATTGCACACCTGCTCCAACTCCTTATGACCCAAGTGTGCTATTAAGGAAAAATCAAAGAATAGCACGGGATTAATTGAGATATTCTTAAATTGTTGGCTCACTTATGTATTTGGCTAGTGTAACAGGGCCTGATATTTCGTTTACTGTGAGCAAACTTAGTCGGTTTGTTTTAAATCCGGGAGATACACATTGGCATGCTCTTGAGAGGGTGTTGAGGTACCTGAAGGGAACCATGAGTTATGGCATTCACTATACCGGGTACCCGAGGGTACTAGAGGGTTATTGTGATGCTAACTGGATATTTGATGCTGATAAGTTGTATGCCACAAGCGGATACGCGTTCTTGCTTGGAGGTGGCGTTGTTTCCTAGAAGTCTTGCAAGCAGATCGTTTTAACGAAGTCTACAATGGAAGCATAACTCACAGCATTAGACACCGCTGGTGCTGAGGCCGAGTGGCTTCGTGAATTCCTAATGGATTTACCAATAATTGAAAAACCGATACCGGCCATTTCCATGAACTGTGATAACTAAACGGTGATAATCAAAGTGAACAGTTCTAGGGACAACATGAAGTCTACAAGGCATGTGAAAGGCGGTTAAAATCTGTCAGAAAATTAAGAAACTCTGGAGTAATTGCATTGGACTATGTCCATACATCAAAGAATCTGGCAGATCAGTTTACAGAGAGTCTGTCACGTAATGTGATAGAAGGTGCATCGAGAGAGTTGGGCTTGAGACCCATGTGAAGTCATTTTATAGTGGTAACCTGTCCTATGTGATCGGAGATCCCGTGAAGGAGGATGGTGAAACAAGCTAGTGGTTGACTGAGTGAGAGACCCCTTATGCTAAGGTCCGAATCGTTTGAGATGCACTGTTTCTCCAATGTTGTAAGGCAGGATGGTCAATTCCTTAATGTGATCCGAGTGACTTATTTAAGCAGGGATGTTGTCCTACAGAACATCCTAGAAGGAACACACCTATATGAGTTCGATTTCTTGTCACAATCTATGAGATGTGGGTAATCTCTAGATACTCATGAAAGGCATTGAAGTGTGACTTATATGCTTCTAATAGAGGGGATGCTTGTTGCATCCTAGTACTAGATAATAACTTTAGTGAAACTCACCTCACACGAAACTGTCAATTTAAGGCATAGTCCATTGTTCAGTTGTGACTGAGTGTAACTGCTGCTCTAGATAGATGTTCAACTTAACAGTCTTCATCGAAACTCTGGTATATCAAAGAAATGTGGTCTTGGCTATCAATCCTTAGTTTGAGTATCATCTACATGCTCGTCACGTTTAAGACACACAAGCACATATATAATGTCACCAACATGATCATTTTGTTTAATGTCTTTTTCTAGATTAAATTGCTACTAAAATTGCCTAATATTCTGACAGCTACATGCTATTAGGGCGTGTTCCGATTGACGGCCGAGAAAAAACATACATGGCGCAGGCATCATTCCTAGGCGCCCCATTATGGACGCCTGAGGTCCACCTGGCCGAGGTTCCTGGTTCCAGACTACCAGGGTCTCATCCAAACACACCTTTTTTTGCAATTAAACACGCCTTTATTGATATTATGTAGATGATCAACACACACCAAGGAGGCAACCCGCAGCCTGTTCGTTTGGTCGTAAACGATCGTAGATTATAAGCCAGAACAGTATTTTTCTCTCGTACCAAACCAGCCAACAGTAATAATCCACGATCGTTTCAGCCGAAACAAACAGGCTGCTGGAGGTTTACTACTGTACCTTTTAATGAACATAGAAAGGTACCGTAGCTACCGCCCTACAACACCAAGCAGAGGTAGAAGTAAACTTGTAATAAATATAGGCCCCGTTCTGCTGGCAGAAACTTGGTTGAAACTGGCTGGTTGTGTGAGAGAGAAACAATGTTGGCTGGTTTGATGAACAGTACAATGAGAGGGAACCAGCCGGCTGGTCTGAAATGTTCAGACCAGCGAACGCCCCCATATTGACTTAGTTCGCTGGTCTGAAACTTGGCTGAAAAACACTATTTCGGCTGGTTTGTTGTAAGAGAAAAATACTATTCGGCTGCTTTGATGAACAGTAACTTGAGAGGGGAAGCAGCTGGCTGGTCTAAACCAGACCAGCGAACGGCACCATTATATAATTCTAATAATTAATAGTACTAAGTAGGACAGTTCCATCAAGATCTGGAAACATCATCATATATATGGTGCTGGCTTTCTTCTCTGATCTACTCGGTGCGCTCCGGTTACACAGGAAGTTCATCAAGTTTCGATCAAATTTGAGAGCGCCACACCCATCTGAAAATCCTGGGCGCGGGCTAAAGTAAAACTATTCATTCGTGTGGCTTCCTGCTGAACCGCCTTTGGAGTTTGGACGGCAGACCTACTACTACAATGGCAAACAAACGCCTGAACGCCACTGCACCCTCTGCGATCAGGAGGTACGACGTACAGACGGCAGATCACTAGGCACTGGCTAATCTAACTGTAGCTTCTCCAATCAGATTTGGTGTTTCACGCTCTTGCATTGTGGGCCTTTCCTGCTATCACCCACCCTCCATCAGAAGACAGTGCAATTCATGCTGATTGGTGATTGAGTGGAAGATATGGCAGGAAAGGAATGAAATGTAATTCAGTGCTCACGCTCTTGGAAGGAAAGGAATGCAATTCAGTGCTATCACCCTCCGCCTCCACCGGGACGAGTTCACATGCTTCCTTTCCATAATTTCTCTTATACTGTTCTTTTTTATGAAATCCTCCGCATATAGCATGTAACATGCATGTAGCAGTGCAGAGAGGTGAGCAAGTGCTTAAAAAACCGAGGTGAAAGTGGCAGTTGGCCTGCCTGACAGGCTGAGGTGAAACGGTAGTCGCGCGGCAGGGATTCGGGGGTGATGCGAGAATCCACTAGCGCAGGGAGGATGGGAGGTGGAAGCGTGCACCTCACGTCGAGGTGCCGCGGGATTACACAACACCTGGGACCCTCCTCGGATTTCGTCGCCGGATCCACCCGTACCGCGGTGAAATCCTTGTCACCGCGCGTGAACGTGAACGGCGGGGTGCCGGGGTGGTGTCGTGGTGAAAGTGAAAGTGAAACCGAGGAGCAGACGCTGCCGATCCCTCAACACGACACCTCACCGTCGACCGGTCATTCTATTCTAGCTAGCGCGGTTGATTTTCTTCCATTTCTGGCGACGTTAGTGAGGACGTCTTGGATCGAAATCTATGCGTTTGGACGAGTTCTCCTTTAATTTGTGGAAAGGAATCAGGATGGTGGCGAGCAGCTTACCTGGTCCTGTGGTTCATTCCACCGAGTCACACACACCGTTAGATTACCGGTCATGTTCGCTGGGAGGAATCTGAATGAATCTGGATGAATTTGTGAGTACGTAAACAGTGAATTTCAGCCTCAAACAGTGAATTCCGGCTGAATTCTTTACCAGCCGAACACGCCCACTGTTTGTTGCATCTCAGTCAGATTACTGTTTGTTGTCCTCAACTCTGTACCGAACTGCCACTGCACATGCCTGATGACATCTGTTCCAAGTGAGGTTATCGGCGTTCATCTGTTTTTTCTTGTCCAACTTGGAGATTTCATTGAGGCTTGCAGGCTGCAGCGGCTCAAACAACACCGATCACGTATCAAAGTAGCAAACTCAGTAGTCAGGGCAAAATGCCAGTCATCGCTTGCTCGGTCTACATCAGCTGGTTCCCCACGGGGTCAAGGGTGAAATGCAGGTGGAGGGATCTCTCCACGACCGGGTGGAACTTCGATGCCCACATCTGCAACTCACAGACCAAACACATCCTGCTTCAGTTCAGAGTTGGAATCCAACCCTGCATTTGCACCGTCATATTCTGTATGCAAACCTCTATCTTCTATTTTTCTAGTTTTAATTTACTTGGGTTAGTGGAATGCAGTATGCAGATCCAGGCAGGAAACTCAAAATTGAAATCCGTGTGAGCAGAATCCTTACATCCTTGTACTCCATGCTCTCCCTGAACAGCTTCAAGTCGTCAACTGCATGATACAATAAATTGAGTAAGCAACCGTAGCTCGAACATGCTGCTAACTTATACACAGAGATTCTGACATGCATAGGATGAGAGAGAACTTATAGCTCACTAACATGATGGGAAACGGATTAGTGCAGCATGACTGTATCCGCTATCCGGATGATCCAAACAGCAGCCTGATACAAAATAAAAGTATATAACATTAGAAGCAGTTCCATGAGATTTTGGAAAAAGTGCTTGTAACAAAAAATGTACATGTTAATGACGATCTATGTGGAACAGGATAAATAGGTTATATGTCTTCAGCCTTAGCAATCGTGTACAGAATCGCAGTCGCAGTGGCAATGTGACCGAAGAACCATAACATATCATGTTGTCTTACCGCAGGTTGCCTGCACAGTAAAAGAACAGCATTGGCTGATCAACTTCTGAAGAGAAGCTAATGCATCCTCCATTGCCTCTCCGGATGCAGTCTTAAAAGAAAGATATCAGCAGCATGAACTCGACACCGTAGTTAAAATCCTGCCACAGGAAACAACATTTCGGTTTTAGTGCAAAAATGGCATTGGGACATTTTTTAGATACCTAAAGAATGGTGTCGATTTACGCCAGGAAAAGGTAGCTTGAGTTACCTCTCCCCTATGAAAGATAGGTATAATGTCATCTTCCGCCTCGGACTCGAAATCTACAGAAACCGAGCCTTGTAAGTTATCCAAACAGTGTCTATCACAGTGCTATGAGCATAGAGAATCAGTATGGTGTAAGAACTGGAAAGAAGATTACATGCTGAGGCATACATAGGAAATAGGTTTTACGTGCTCATCAACAATTTTGAATAGTATGCACTACTCTGGAACTTTGTGGTGTCTTCTTTCTGCTGAAAGCGCGTGAAGACAGCATGTGTGAAATTCTCCTGTTGGGGTCCTCTATATGCCTGCATCCAATATATCACAAATACCAAATTGAAGTTTAAACTTATTAACTGATTCTGCAGCTGAAGTGTATATAAGCCTAACCTAATGAGACAGAGTATCCCTCTCATTTGGTACTGTGATGTATATAGGTAGTCCAGCATATCTCTTTCTTCAGCATCTGAGATGTTTGGCTTGGCTCTAAGCAGAATAATGTGCTCCAAAATCTTTCTGCAAAGTGTACTAGATCAGCTGTCTACTACAGCTCAGCATAGTCCAGGGCATGAGGTGACAGTATGCAGAATTTAGAACACTGATGTAAATATGATACTTTCACAGTGTCAATTTCTGGGCAACAGTTTTACAAATTTGAAGTGATTTGGTAATGCAACACTTACAAAACAACTCACCTTTTCTTCATAAGGCCACTAGAATGTGCACCATTGCTGGATTCAAGCACACCACGAGTGGAAAGAATCATCTTCTTTCCAGTCCCCCACCATCTGCGATCTACACAAACACAAGGGACTCTAGAATCTGTATTCAACATGCATACACTTCAAAAAGAAGGCCAAAGCTGAGAACGAGAACTCACATCGGTCCAAATTCTGCGCAGATAGTTGATGCAACCTAAAGCAGCTCCCAACAGGTCGTATGGTGAGGCTGAGGCACCTGGGCTGATGCTGTCACAGACATCCTGATGATTCAGAGCCTGGAAGCTTTAGCTCTCATTGTTGCCACACTGGTTTTTATGGTTTGGGTGGAGTTGTGGTATGGTGGTAACCGTGAGCAAATGCAGGATCTTTTGAGTTGGATGCACATAGTGAGGCAGGACATCCTCTGTCCTCACCATCAGTGGGTGGTTGGAGCTTATAGCATTGTCCTTTTCACAGCTCCACAATTGCTTTTTTTTTTTTTTTTGCAACAAAGATACTAGATCTCTCATTGAGAAATACAAACTTAAAAAGGGAAAGCATCAGAACTGCCAGTGCCACACAACTGCACCAACATCAATTTGCATTAATCACCAAACAGTGCCACAGAATTGCACCAACATCAATTTGCATTGATCACCAAAGGAGATTAAACTAAAAGTAGCCTAAATTAGAGTGACATGAGAATCACACCAGTCAACCTTCAAATCATTCACAAGTTTGATCACAAGAAAAGATGCTACAATTCTAGAACCAAAACAATAAAGATTCCAAAAACCACAAACGCTCCATGATGGACTTGACGGAGTCTAAGATCCTAACATAGTGGTAGAATAATGAAGAATGTTCGCCCTCCAAACCATCTCTGTGGTGACGGTTGCTCCCAGCAAGATTGTTACAGGGACTTCCACCAATCACAAGATCAGAGCCGCCAATTCTTCTAACATATGCCTCGATCCTCTCAGATGTCAGTGTCTGCACATCACTAATCTCAATCAGAAGACCAGTCTGCGTCTGATCCCACCAACTCTTCAGAATAGTCCTATTGACCTCAGACTTCTCTACTGAAATAACTGTCTTCATGCGTATACCAAGCCTGTGGAGAGCTACCTCTGCTCCTCCAATACCAGAGAATAAAGACAGTACATTCATGCCTTGTGGGTACATATCCTTGAGGACTGAGAGATGGTAAGCAACAGTATCAACTTGAAATGAATTTCCTAGAGATCGATACCTCTCTGTCCTGCTGATACCTCTGGTGTGATCCTTCCGAAAGCCGAGTAGAAACTCCATCTCATCAGGCTCTAAAGGAGCAACCTTGTTTAAGCCAACCCAAGCGAGATTCCATTTCCTACACTCCTCCAACACAAACTTTTGAACTCTTGGAGGAGGTGGATCTGAACTGTTTGTAAGGGCTACACGTATCCTCTCTAACAGTTTTGCACTAGACACACAAGTCTGGAGGCAATTGAACTGTCGTCTTGGGTCCCATGATGGCCACCACCTCCTGGTATGAGGAAATGCTTCGGATATTGTCTTTGGAGGTATGGGGAGGAGAGGTAACCTGTTCTCAAGTGGCAGATTGTGTATATAACCTCTTTTCCTGGCAGCAGCACAGAAGTACTTCAAGTCCACAAACTCCGGCTGAATATCATACAAGAATCTTGATATGGTAGTCCAGACACCTTTTGGAGCAAGAGCAACATTCTCGTAGTAGAAGTATGGTGGACCCATAGCTTGTGAAGGCAGCGATATGTCCACTGGTCTTGTCCACTGGTCTGGCAAGTTAAATCCAACCACTGAATGTGGGAGAGGCATGGGTTCATTAGAGCTACCATCTAATGGGCCTCTACTTCCCTGTGCTTGACCACCATGTCTTTCTCTTTTTTTTGTTCCCATCCATGAACCTTCCTTTGTTTCTCCCTCCATACGAACTATCCTGCAGTATTGCAAACACAGTTCCATTATCAGACCATTAAATTAGAACTAAATCTTATTGCAGACTTGTATGGACAGTTCACCTAAGACAAACCTCATAGTCAGACAAATTGCCACAGTAACCATCTCCTGCGGTCTGTGAAGCATATATTGAATCCACCAGAACAGAAATAGATGCATCCTGCCCTGAGTAATTTTAAACCACAGACGACAGTAGATGGCGTAAGGTGCATGATCAGTGAACAGGGGCATTTGGAGCATGCTTTGACAAGTTCAAATAATAAACTCTGAAAAAAAGGACGTACCCGGTGCAGAGAGCTCCCGCTCTGTGCGGGGTCTGGGGAAGGGTGTCAGTGGCAAGCCTTACCCTCGCCTGTGTAATGCGAGGAGACCGCGACTCGAACCCAGAACCTTCCGGTCACAGGCGGTAAGACTCTACCGCTTGCACTAGGCCCGCCCTTCAAATAATAAACTCTGAAGATAAGTTAAAATAAAACAGGGACAAGGACAGAATCTGAGTGGTACACGTTGCAAAAACAGTTTTATTTGACAGAAAATGCAATTAAAATATTCTGACCCCAAAAGAATAATAAATTGTTGGTTGCCTGCTTTGATACCCAGACTTGATGCAAACAGTAAATCAAGCTTAGAAAGAATCAACCATTCTAGGTTATCCCAGTTCAAGGTTGCAGACAATTTACGAGTTCCAACTTACTGCATTTGAGGATTCAACTAACTTATTCTATATGAGAGCACATCCTACTTTCAAGGTTGGAAATTGATGTTTATTTTGCTGAGGAATCTAAGGCAAACAGAGGAGCATGGAACAAAGGCTCAGAGAGCACACCGCATCTAGTAATAGCCAGTCCAGCCTCGTCTTCAGGAAACCCCATTTTAACTAACGAATCAACTTTCTCATCCGTCTGTGATATCTCATGTAAGAAATCCTGTGTAGAAAGCACTTAGAATACAGTTGACAAGCTACATAAACTAGCATTGCAACCAAAGGACAAAAACAACAATTCTTGTAATGTGTATAAAAATGGGAAGTATCATAATTCATAACTATGGACAATTTTAGGAAAACAATTCAATCAACTCTCAGCTACATGAAGTCACATGCCAAACACCAGAAAGCACAATGCAAGTTCAATGTTAGAGTTGAACAGGAATGTTGTTGCACTACAGAGCCTCCAATTCTCAGGATCAGTGAACGATTTGCATAAGTATCAAAAAGGAAGTAGATTATAACCCATAACTAAAGTTTTTTTCGTGAATTAAAACAGTAGGAGTGAATACTATTACAGGGAGGAGGGGCTACAGCAAATTTCAGTAAAAAGAAATGAATGTCAGATACAAAATAAGAAATTCATCATTAACGAACCACCCACAATTTTGGAATTTCATTTGTTAGTCCATGGTGGTGTCTTGTTCAAGAATATCACCCAACACGAGAGTTCTAGTCATACGCACAAGATGAAACGCAATAGTTTCAAGTTTATGATTGACACAACTATCTTGCTTACCGTCTTACCAATACGATTTTCTTAAAAAATTAAGGATTTTGGTTTTATGGGAACATGTTGTTTTGCCTAAAAGAACCCAGTTGTCCCCAAATATAACGGAAAAACAAAGTAGATTGGCTTTCTAGTACAGCTATGTAGCTAACAGCTGTTTGAAAACAAAAGGAACAAGTGCAAGTAAAAGTAAGGAACCTTATGGTCTTCAGGATAAGTAGTCTATTTACTGGATTAACATTAAACAAGTTTAATGCAGAAGTAAATGTGATTGAAACAAACTAAATACATAGCAGGTTTCTCAAAATAATAAAGTAAATGCATACAGTCACCAAGGGGGCGCGTCAAAATACCTCGTCTCCAGAATCATCAAAAGAGTTAGCAACCCTTGTGCTTCTACCACCAGCATCCTCATCATCCCAGTTTTCTAGAATGTCATCATCATCACTATCGTCAACAGTTTGGGGGACACAACCAGAAGCAAAGCCGTCATCCACTTTGAGATCATTGCCTAGTTCCTGCATTTGGCATCACTTCGTAAATACAAATCCTCTTTGACACCATGCAACAACATCATCAAAGAATAACTAATAGAAGTAGGAACACAAATGAATACCTGGTAAGTAAGAAGAAGCTCAACTAATGAATCAGCTCCATTATCCCCTGAAAGAAAAAGCAACTGTCAGATAGAGTATATAAAATCACCTAGAATCTAAGTAAATGAGAAGAAATGGGTTATTAGCTAAGTACCATTGTCCTTCATGGCCTTCAGAACAATCTCTTCTGTGAAACCCATGTCCATATACTTCTGAACCAAAGCGGCAGATGGCCCAGCCTTCCCATTGCCATTAGCAACCTTCAAATCAGCCCCACAAACAAACAGAAATATTACAATCGTAGCCACTAGGAACAAGGTAACAGTAACATTGAGAGTGTTCGTGTCGCTATACACTAATCATGATCCTGTTTCTGTTCATGACTACCATATATATCCAACCCCCCCCCAAACCCCAACACACACACACACACTCCCACTCCCACTCCCACTCCGGCCAGTTTGGCACAAGTGGTTTGAACAACCCTGAGTAACATGAACTGAAGAACAACTAGCTGCTGAGTTCACACATTGTTGCATATGCATGGATCAGTTAGCTGGCTTACCCGTGTCGATGGGCCTGGAGCATCAGTGTTCGTTGATGTCATTGCTGATGAACTGGCACCAGCAGCGTTGAAGCTCGCTGCCTCCTCCCCATTGCCATCGCTATCCCATTCGAAGCTGTCACTGCCATCACTCTCGCTAACCCAGTGCTGTGACACGAATTAAGAACTAACCATCAGGCACCTCGACCAACAATAGGATCAAACCACCATCCATCCCGAAATAGCATAAAAAATGCAGGTTCTAACTCGATCCAGTGTTAAGAAAACCCTAGCGTTGAGCAGCAGAAAGGGAGAAAAAAAAAAAACCCAACCTCGCGACATCAGGGACCCAATCTAACGCGCGGAATCACCGTAGCAGCGGACCAGACTATTAGTATCAAGAATTCATGGCGCGAGAGATCATCCCTTCACAATACATGGAAGGGGACAGAAAGGAAAGTCTTACCGCCATTCCGGAACCTTCGCGAAGGGGCTCCGGGGTATAGTCCTCCCTCGATCCCTCTCGTTTTCCTCGGCCTCGGCGTGGCCGGAAGCTGCGGCGACCGACCCGGAGACCCCGGACGGCGTGGCCCGGCGTGGCCCGGCGCAGCCCCTCTCCGCCCTCCGCTCCACAGCCTCCCCCCGGATTACCAATGCCGCCTCTCCCCTCCCGTCGCCGTCGGCCCCTGCGCGCTGGGACTTGGAAGCCGGTGGCAGACGAGGAGGAGCAGGAGGCCGCGACGGCGAAAGGCGGCTCTGCCTGCCTCCGCCACGGCGAATCTCAACGAGAAACTCACGCCGTCACGCGCCGCGCCCCCACAAACAGCACGAGCAATGGGCACATCGCTGGTGGTACACCACTGTGATGTGGGGACCCCTCATGTGTCCAGGGCTGTCAGCGAGAGAGTGCGGCACTGTCCCCAGTACGCCGGTACGCGTAGGCGGTGAAAGATCCCGTGTGGCGGCTGATCAGTGGTCACCCGTGTCACCGTGTGGGGAGCATTTCCGGATGATAACAGATGCATGATATAAATTACATATTGACATGTATAAACTAGAGGCAATAAACAACACACAATTTCATGACTCAACTTAGAACAAATCATGACTCAACTTAGAACAAATTTAATAGCTTACATAAACAATTTATTAATAAAACACATGAGTCCTTTAGTCAAGATGTTCGGACCTCCATTGAACATCCGCGGGTGAAAACCGAAACCCGAAACTGAACCCGATAAATTTCGGGTTCCTAAACCCGAAAACCATGGGGAAAAATCAAACCCGAGCCTATTGGACCCGAAATCCACGGATATCTATCCAAACCCAACCCACTGCCATCGTTAGTAGGGTCTGGGGTTCCATTTCGAATTTGGTGAGGCACACGGTTGGATGCAGAGTAGCGGTGCAAAGCACGTCTCAATGAGAGTAGAGAGAAAAACTGTTTTTATATGGTGGAGACAGGGAAAGCCAATTCACCTGCTGCCACCTACCATAGCTATGTGGCAGTCTTTAAGGCATCATGAATGTTATGCATATACTCTTCGACCGTTTCTATATGAGTTTATATAAGAGAAGTTAAATTATTTATTATATCAAATAAGTAATGTTTTTATATATATGTAATTAACTTTATCTTTTACGTAATTTATTTTTATAGAACAGATAGAGTTAAATGCGCTGGCGGGCCTTGAACTTGTGGTTACGTGCCATTTAGGTCCAAAACACTCAAAATCAAAATCTAGTCCAAAGTCATGAACGGCAGATCCATACCTTTTTCGGGTGATATCCAGTACGATAAAATTTTATAAAAACACCCTTCCAAAGTCATCTCCTACCTACCTGGAAGAGTGATAAAGGCCCGATTTAGGACCACTTTTCTCGACTTCGCTTTGAAATTAAAGCTGGATTTCTTCCATAATGAGGTTTTATAAGAATCACAAGAAGAAAAATCTTAGCATTTGGTATGCTAGATTCTAAGTGAGAACTCATGGACATGCTCGAGCTCCGCCGTGAATGAGGATGGGAAGGGACTCGATGAGGAAGAGGAGACAGTCCGCTCGTTAGTGACGGGCCTACTCGTGGAGCGGTTCGACAACTACCACGGCGAGACAACTCCCTTTTGATCCGATGGTGGGAAGCTGGTTCTCGGGAACCACCAGCCTCGCCGTTGTCGCAAGAGAAAGAGACATCTCCACCTTGTAAGCACCACCTGTCCTCGTCGCTGCTAGATGATAAGGCGGTGGATCCATCGGGCTCGGCTCTGGCTGCGGTGCCTGAGCGAGGAGGCGGAAGCGGGACTGCTGGCAGATTCGTCGAGCTCGTGTCCTGCTCTGGCTCCGGTGCCCGAGTGGGATGGAGGCGGGGCACGAGCAAGGAGAGGCGTGGGCGGGGCTTGAGCAGGTGGAGGCGGTGACGAGAGGAAGGAGAGAATCGAGGGGATTTTCTCCACTGCTCGCTAATAGCTGATTCTACGATCACGTTGAAACAGGTCGAGGAGAGAACCACGAAAAAATAAGTTGATCTAGAATCATAACTTTTAGCACGATTAAGGGGAGACAAGCGGCCCCAAACAAGGCCAGGATCAAAACTGTAGTGGTGGACAAGCTCATCAAGGCGTCCAAACTTCTCGAAGCAGGCATCGTCGTCTTCGGTGCCTACAAGATACTAGTGCACCTCAATTAGACTGTCTCTAACAAGGAATTTATATGGGCACCTAAATTCAAAATAGGTAATAAGAGACTCAAAATCAGCCTCTAACAGAGTACCTACACGGAAGAACTATTTTGGGTTGCGTGAGAGGCACAAACCAAATATGGGTATCCTCTCTCCTGAAAACCCATTTACAGAAAATATTCTATTTTGGGTCTTGTTGTTGGAGAAGATGTCGAATATGTATTGAACCTTTTGCCTATAGTGCTACCCAAAGAATGAATGGGTCTTATATTTTAGGTGTTGTTGTAGTAGATAGCCTTACTTGCTCCCGGTTGCCCACACCGCTGTGACACCATTGCTCTACTTTGTGGGGGAGCACGTGCCCCGCCTATCGTCAGCATGTTTGTTTGGCTGTGGCTTGTTGTAAACGATCGTAAATTTTCAGCCGAAACAATATTTTTCTCTCACACAAACCAGCCAGCAGTACTTCTTCACGAATCAACAACGAAATGAACCAGCCAACCGAACAGGCTGCGTGTCCTAGGTAGCAAGCGTCGCTTGGCCTCGCATGCTCTGTCACGTCCTGACGAGCGAGCGTCGCACCGTCGCACCACCTATACGTATCCTGTGAGCAAGCACCACTTGCCCCCTTCCCGTCCAAGTTAGCGAGCGTCGCTCGACCGCACCACCGGCCGTGGGCCGACGAGCGCACGATCGCCTGTCGCGTTCCAGGTAACGAGCACCACCCGGTGAGCGAGTGTTGTGTGGCCCCCGCCTGTCGCTTCTCGGTGACTGAGTGCCGCTCGACCACACACGCCCCGCCGCATCCCGACGAACGAGCATCAAGGGAAATTTGCTGAAGAAAGGGCGGGCAAAGGAGGGAGAGACAATCACGGGATTAGTCAGATTTTGATATAGGCCCCATAAAGAAACGATATGTTAGAGACATAGTTGTTAACTAGGTAGCGTGTCCATGCGTTGCTACGGGACAACTAAATCTTTTGTACTAAAAATACACGGATCGCACGATAAGATAACAATACTGTTAAATTAAATACCGACATCAAAGTGACATTTAATTCAAAAAGCAAAGTTCGTGAAATTAACACAGTCACAGAGAGCGCGACGTCGTAGGCTCACAAACTCTTCTGTATAGATTTTTTCGTGATACGGCTAAGATAATATTTTATATCGGCAGAAAGAATTCTACGATATCTATTTCTTTCATGCGTCAATAAATCCATGAATAAGTTCTACTGCATCTCCATATAATCATGTACACATAGGTTTGAGTATATATGTAAATAGGTTCGTGTCCGTACGTTGCTACGGGACAGCTAAACTTTTATACTAAAAACACACGGATCGTACGATAAAATAACAATGCTGTAAAAGTATATGACCGACGTTAAAGTGACATTTAATCCAAAAAGTTAAGTTCGTGAAATTTACACAGTCACAGAGAGCATGGCGTCGCAGACTCATAAATTCTACTGTGTAGATCTTTCTGTGATGCGGCTAAGATCATTTTTTATACCGGCAGGAAGAGATTTCCGATATCCATTTCTTTTGTGCGCCAACAAATCCACGAATAAGTTCCACCACATCTCCATACCATCCTGTACACGGCGCTGGCAAGCGAATTAGCCACAACTTATGTAATTAGTTTTATAATTAGCTCATATTTAGTCCTCCTAATTGATATCTAAAAATTTAATGTGTCAGGGACTAAAGTTTAGTCCTGGAATCCAAACACCCCATAACTCTCGACTCATGCTGGCTGCTCACTTGCACCACCATGCCTATATGTCTGCACGTATATACTCTAATGTCAGAACGTCTAAGATGGTCTTTAAAATTGCCATTTGTGTATGCTATAGGATTGTGATGCTTTGCACTGATCCATGAGGGTGTCTATGAGAGTCAAAAAAATTTATGTCATTATGATGTCTAAGCTTACCAATCAGACAGAGATAAACTTAATTGTTAAAATATTTTCAACACTGCTTTCATATACTCCCTCTGTTCCAAAATAGAATTCATTCTCGCTTTCCGAGAAGTCAACTTTTTCTTTTAACTTCGACCAATTATAATACAGTTATTTTTTACATGCATGTGGCCTCAGGAGTCGACCAATTGATTGTTAAATGTTGCACGTATTTTTTACAAACCTAGTCAAAATTGAGAAAGTTTGACCTGCACACATCTCATAACGACTTATATTTTGGGGCGGAGGAAGTATATGCTAATGGGAGTAGTCAATTGGAAGTCGTGATGAACACAACAATACTTTCATATTATATGCTAATTGGAGCACGAAAAAACGCAGGGAAATGGACCTATATACGAATGGTGAGAATATTCGTTTAGGAAATTACAGAAGGTTCACCAGTCTCACCATGTATAACCTGCACATTTTTTATTTGGCACCACTGATGTTCTTAAGGAGCAACCACTTTTTAATTTCAGGTCTGCATGCTGGAAACACTAAAATTAAGGGCCAACCTCATTGAGTCGTCTTGCTTGATCTTTGCCAATTGTTTCTTTCCATGTATGATTATTGTTTCCTTCCATGCATGTGGCATCAGGTGATCAATTTGTTTCCTTCAAAGCAGGTGGAGATCGCTGGGATGATAGTTTCTTTTTCTATCGCGCGGGGTATCGCATGACTGGAAGGGAGGAGTCTTGCTTGATCTTTGCCAATTGTTTTCTTCCATACATGATTATTGTTTCCTTCTATGCATGTGGCCTCAGGTGATTGATTTGTTTCCTTCAAAGCAGGCGGGGATCATAGGGATGGCAGTTTCTTTTTCTATC